GAGAGAAATGGTAGCGTTTAAAGGAGTCAGCTAAAAATGTGCCAAAAATTCGTGTTCATGAACTTCACCTCTCTAGATGGGATATCAACTGGGATAAACACATCAGCTCACGATTTGTAGTACACCTATGATTACCTCACTTTGCAGATGTGAGGGTCCAAATCCTGATTTGCCTAAGAGCTTGTCTGGAGATACATTTTGATCTCCTAAACACGAATCACATACGCCACATTCGCATCGCGTGAGACGCCTAATTCCTGCGCACGCCGTATGCCACAATGCCAAAGTCTGACAGTTCAAAGGGGAGCTCATTTAAAGTCGAACTGCAGATGAGCAGTGGCAGTAGGTTAACGAGAATCTACCAATTGTTATAGTTTTACGAGAAAAAGGAGAGGAAAAAGTGCGAGCGGATGCAGTCCCGACATTAATCCTGTAAATCCCCCCCCCCCTTTAACCACTACGCCATCGCACCACACGTGATGCAAAAACCTTCGCAAACTTGTTTGCAGTGGCATTTAGCAGATACAGAAGACAAATTTGGAATCAGCGTCCGAAAGCGCATGAGGTGGTACTCATCTAATGTAAAACTACCATCCTTCCCTTGTAAGCATAGGCAAGGGGCCACATCTACCACCTTGCCTTCAATGATTTCGTCACAATGCCTCAGTTTCATTATCAATTTATAATTTCAAAACTAACCACTGGAATGGCTACGACGCCGGGAAGACGAATTGGTGCAGGGAACTGCGAATGTTTTGGAAAGATCCGGAAAAAACTCCTCGACTGGATCAGCGTCGGATGATGAGAATCGCTCGTGGGAAGAACAGTAAGCTACACTCTTGAATGACGGTTCTGGAACTGTAAACTCGGTAGTATTTGTGTTGCTGCAGGGTATGCTGTGGAGATATGCGTCCAGGGTACTGATATCACAGTCAAGTGCTGCGTCTATATCATTAAGATCAACTGGATAGTCGTCGCTTGGTGAGCGAACAGCATAAATATCGTGTGAGTATGGAGGAGTCTGTGAGCTTTCGAAATCGTGATGAGACCAATTGACGTCAAACTGGAGATGAGCATCCGGAGTACACCTCAACAGGGCCACATCTGAAAAAAATCTTATGGAGAAACGCGGGGAAACCATTTCTCACATTTCTGTAATGTTACTCGCATAACGACTTTCTCAGGCCCAAAAAGCGTTCATAAATTCACACGCTTGTCATCACAGAGCAAGACGCGGGCGCTGGCGCAGTAATTGTTAATCAGGTCTGCCAAACCAATCTTCGAACTCTGTGGTCATATTTTGTTCAGTAATAACATAAAGTGAAATGCAAAGGAATGTTTCACTACTGCTCACTAGCCATAAAGAAAATTACGTCTACTGGTCCAACTTACCGACAGTCTTCGACCTGTGCTTGGAACAATAACTGTTTGCCACCATATTCGTCGAATTCACGATTGAATCGATATTTGACTGGTCCTCCAACGAATCGCCGAGATAGGTATAGCTAAAAATGCGCACTCTAAGAAATTAACAATGGCATATTAATCGTGTAAATAGTACGTGCCTTTCCCAGTCGGGTGTCGACTGCAGCGCCTCTCGCGGATCTACTGGAGACGCACGATGATGATAAGCTGGTGAAGGCGTCTGCAGTTCTGATGAAAAGGCGTTGAGAACCGCATCGTGACGATAAGTCGTCCGAGGAGCAGTTGTGCTGTCTAGAGACCATGTTGAACATTGTGACGGGGAAAAGAAGAAGGATTGCTCGGCCTGATCGAGGGACAACACGTGCGCTTGTTACCAAGCGAACCAAACACCTGAAAACAGTTCCATCGTTTGAAATCGGACAGCCAGCCACTTCCACACCACACAAGCCACTGAAATATTGAGGGCTCAGCTTTCACAGCTCTAGAGCTGCATGTTAAAGGAATCTTGCGCGGAAAATTCTTGCACTCTTTCCTAACATGAATATGTCAGTTGTGATCACTGGAAATAGCACACAAAGTTTCACGCATGAAGATTCGGTTTCTGAAGAGAAACAAACGTACAAAAACTACACGTTATGGACCATCGAAGGACCAGGAGGCAGAGCCAGGCGAGGCATGGAAAGAAGACGGCGTTTGGCCGGCTACGTACCAGGCGACGCAATGAGAGAATCGGGTTAAAGCGCGCGATTTCGGAGAGTGGAGACAAATCGATCGATGGAATAGGATGGAGTAGAAGTGTAAGATGTGAATGCAACGAAGCAGAAGGCCAGAAAGAGCTTCTAGTGAATGCACTCCAAGAACCAAGTTTGAGCATCCCCGTCGCCAGCATTCGTGAAAGACGTCCGTGGGCAATTCGAACGCGTAGCAGCCTTTTCGAGTTTTCGAATTTCTAATCAAAACGAAAGCAATACTTCAGTTCTTTTCACTATTATCGTGGATAATGAGTCTCAAGCCAGTGATTTATGGCTGAAATAGAATCATGATTTTTCCGCGCAAGATTCCTTTAACACGTTGACGACATTGTGCAGCGCATGCGCATCACACCTTGAGCACCGTGTGGGACCGTGTGCAGCGCATGCGCTGCACACACAAAATATTTATTTTTTTCGCGCATGCGCTACTTCTTTTCTAATTTTTTGCATCTATTCTATAGACTACACCATAATATGACTAGACACGGCGAGGTTCATTGAATGGTTGAATATGCTCCTTTTTAGCGAAGGTTTTCTAAGCCCTACGAATTTCCCAATTGTGTTCATTCCTAGTTTCCTTTATATTCTGATAATCTTGGTCATAAAAAAGAGCAGTAGAAGTAAGTACAGACCCACACATATAGCAAGACATATGTTTTTAGTGGAGCAACCGCGTCAAAAATAATTTTGAGGTTCACTACAGCAAAAGCAACTGAAACTTGCCTTTCATCGCCAGAAAACGTCAATTCGATCGATTTTTTACAGTTGTCCCTTCTGATAAGTTTGACACATCGAATATCATTCTAAACATTTTGTTGCATCCGAGTTTTGGGTATTTAAAGCTCAAAATTCACGGATTTGATGTGAGGCGGCGGCGCCTGCAAAATCGCCGTGGTCCCACGCAAAAATGCCAAAACGCGCGATGTCGTCAACGTGTTAAGGTTTATTTACGTAACAGTAACATCTGGCAATAAGTTCATGCGACAAGTGACTACACTTCATTCGGCCACCATTTTCTAGTACTAGGTGTACTCCGATACAACATCTAGTGTGGCAAGATTATTCATATAGTAGTCACACGTTGAATTTGGGGACATTTTGGGTACTGCGGCGTTTGAGAATCAAAAGCCTATGCGAGAATTCAAGGGGCAGGTTTGGGAACCAGTGCTCCAATCCTTCCAGACGAGGGCGACACCGACAAAAGAGAGGGACTGGTAGGTCGGAGGTTGAATACTGGAACGTACAACAAGATTGAGCGCCTGGAAAGCGATGTCTTTTGCCGCCACATATTTCCATAAGTTAAGCAAACTGTAACTAGAGTTAACCGTGCGTTGAGCAGATTTCAGAAATAACACACCCCTATCCTCCTTAGGGAGTCTCGTTATGATTCGCAACACTCCCAACACCATCACTGGCCATTATACCTACTTATACTCCGTGAAATCCAAATCTCCTCTCGTGCTCTTCGGTGCTCCTATCACTAACCATAAGGCCGATGTCAGACTTTACGATGCAGCGATTCGCTAGCGGGTCGCTGGATCTGCAGAGTCTGACATCGGCCTAAGGTGGGGGCATGGGGGAGGTGTGCAATAGGGTGAGCTATGTAACAGTGAATCCACCATCCACAAAAAGGGGAAATCCCTGGGTGCTTAACCATTCCGCTTCCGCTCTTACTGCAGAAATTGAGCTTAGGCTGGTGTCAGAGTCCGTGATCCGTTGCGCGATCCGCGAGGATTCCGGTCTATTTTTTTATCCCCTCTACACGAATACGAACGCGAACGAACAGCTGTTTTTGAAAACGCTGTCCTTTTATCCAAAAAGCTCTCCTTCTATCCTATCCTTGACAAAGTGTGTGCAAGTGCACCCCAGCCCAGGTTGAACTTGTTATATTAGTCCTGCCACAAGAACATGTTAGAGCACTGAGGTCATCAGCGCTGAAGGAACGATATGAGGCGGCTTACAGAAGAGTTCAAGTAGTTCGTCGGCACCTCATAAATACCAAAAATCATAGTACCAACTTACTTGGGGGAGAAAGATCACGCGGAGGCGCGGCGCTCTGTTCAATTGCGTCGAAGGCTTAGTCGGTGCCACAGTATTTAGAAACCGCAGAGGTGCAGCGAAACAAAAGCGACCCTTATCTCCAACCCTTATGCCGATGTCATAGTTTGCGAATCCAGCGATTCGCCAGCGAATAGCTGGATACGAGCGTTGCATCAATCGAGCGATATATCAGCGGATCTAACGATATATCAGCGACTCAGCATCGTCTGAACGTGACGGGACCCAACGTTCAAAGGAAGTCCACCTCAAAGTCATTGTATAGGCCACATCGCATTCAAACGCCACTACGAATGTACAAATGGAAGTAGAATGCGTGCCGCATCCCAAAAGGGATTGATCAACGGATTAAAGGTCCCGCCACTTTCAACAGTGTTGAGCCGCTGGTACATCGTTCGATCCGCTGGTACACAGCTTCGATTCGCTGGTGCAACGCTCGGATCCAGCGATTCGCTAGCGAATCGCTGTATTCGCAAACTATGACATCGGCCTTAAGGTGCAGACGAACAGTGTCGGGCCGACGCGTGGCCCTCCTTCCCCCTACAAGGGAAGCCCTCAAGGTCGCCATGGCCATTCACGACGAAATGGGTAAGGTAAGTGCATATTGACACGCTAATTTCAAATCTTCCTTCCCAATCTGAACGTTTTCCTGAACGGAGTTATATGGGTCGAACAGCGCAGCAAAGGCAGCGCGGACTCTAGGAAAAGGGCACGTGGAACCGGTTCTTCTGCAGTTCACCCTTTGCTTTTGTGCTCAACATTTCCAAAATGACCCTAATGTGTTACTCTTTCAGCGTTAGCCTATAACAATCCTTCGATCCTTACGATGAAGTCTGCCCACTATCAGCTGATATTTCCTGGCAGTGCCTGTAACGCACACTCCAGTGGCCTTCGCGCCAAAGAAAGCATATTTGTGTTCGAGACGAAACTACCTCTACAGGCAATTATAGACAAGCCGAGATACCAATCCAACTTGGGGATCACCCGAACCGCCAAAGTGTGGCCGCCATCGAACCATCTGCTTAGTGGCGCTGATTTGGGATGAATGAGAGCGGGAATAAGCGTTGAACAGCGCTAATGCCGAATATGCAATGTCATATTCGTAATCAGGACACCAAATAACCCCTATACAGAAGTTTACACCGAATTTGGTGAAAACAGTGTCGTGACAAGGTGACGCCAACTGGCGCCAGATGGCGCCACCACTAGAATTGAATTCACTTTCGTAATCACGGAAAAGTTTCGAAGAAATAAAATTTTGAGTTTTTTTGGGATTAATAGTTGAATGGGAGACGGTCAATTCAATCGTCGGCTAATGAGGTCACGCCGCTCACGCGGCGGGCAGCGTCGCGCGCGGCAAATGGTGCGGCGATTTTTGTATGGGCCTTGGCTTAACGGTCCTTGTCCATAAGTTGCTGGTGGGGTTAGAGAACTGATAAGACCAAAGTTCCAGACATCAGTGAGCCAACAAGAGTCACCTTAAGATCTCCGCAGTTATTTAAGCCTCACTGTACAGAGCTTGTGCCATGTAAAGGTTGTCCTTTTGAACATAATGAGACTTCTTTATTAATCAACTGCCTGAATTGTTATCAGAGAGCGATAATCTGGCTAAATCGGGAAAATATTACGTTCCAAGACGGGTTGATAAGATTTTAAGGGAACAGGTGATCATATACCGTGTTTCGACTGGGAACTTCATCTAATCCTACATTCCCCAATGCTAGAACCCTGAATTCTAGCCACGGCCGACGTCGCATCGCGGGCTGCGGCGGCTGGCGCGGCGACCTAGCTATCGCCACGATTGAATAGTCACGCACCCATAGTTGAATAGCGCCGAAATATTGCACGGCCTACATGATGGCATCATTACAGAACTCACATGGAATTATTTTCAGGCAAAGGTTTGTCGATATGTTGGGCTCCCCGCTTTCTTCACAATTTGGAGCGCGGCCGAGTAGTGCGGCATCAGTCCGCCTGAGTATAAAACGTTACATTACGTGCTGTTACGACCGGATGAACTAACAAGTAATGTAACGTCGAAAACTTCCAGGAAGGTCTTTCAGGGCGTGACAAGCTTTTTGAAAACGGTCTTTTGCATGATATAGGGGCACATGCGGGAACCACAGAACCATGGTTAATTTTTCCTGAACGGCCCTCTGAATACCAGAAAAGGGGTCCCTAGTTCGATTCCTCGTGGTGACAAATTTTTGCATTTCGAGTTGACGTTCCAAAATTCGCGCAAAATGGAGTTAGCATGAATAATTAGTACCATATTCATGATTAGGACCGTCAGTAACCCTTACAAATAGACTTTGATTAAAAAACTGGTGAAAAAGGTGTGACACCACAGTGGGGCTGCTTGGTGTCACACCTTTACACCAGTTTTTAAGTCAAAGTCTTTTTGTAAGGGTTACTGACGGTCCTAATCATGAATATGGTACTAATTATTCATGCTAACTCCATTTTGCGCGAATTTTGGAACGTCAACTCGAAATGCAAAA